ATTAAGAGAGTATTAACAGTAACATATTACTAAACAAGAACCAGGAGGGGCAAGAACAGGCAACATCCACAAGCACTTGTTTTCTAGAAGTTTAGTGCAAAGGCAAGTGGGCTCTTCTCAACAGCTGCCAGCTTGCGGCCTTCCCCTCTCAAGTTGGGCGAAACGACCTGTGACGTTCGGGCACAGGGACAAAGCCTGATGCAGTTGCATTTCCCATTGGAACACTACTTCCTCAGTTCCCGGACTTTAAGCTTTTTGGGGTTGACCATATTTAAGGCAAACAAACAGTTTGGTGACTTTCTTGCTGACGAATCCACTCGTTCGGACGTGAGATAACATGTCTACTCAACTGTGTTTGAACCACCCAGGCTTGCCCCCGCAAGCGAGCAGGCGCGGCAAAAGCTTCGAGCTCGGACAGGGTAAGTGGCGCCAAACGGTTCAAAAATGGTTTGTGTTGCCCAGCGGATCCTTTTACCTGGTTTGTTGGTAACCAAGCGGAACCTTGACTGTATTAAGTTAAATCTTTAAACTTTAACTTTTTGGCAAATCAAAGAGTTTTCCACTAAACCCACAAAAGGTTAAACGTTTTGCAGAGGGAACAGCAGCAACCAAGGAACCACCCGATAGAAAAACCAAACGGACAATAGCTGGTAACCTACTGGAAGGGTAACTATGAAATGGCTGGCCCCAAATATACAGTTAGGTGAAAGTCGGCTTCGTCATCCCATTTACTTACCCACATAAAGGACTGCTCGAACACATGCACCTGGGGAAGACTCTGTTTTCGTGTTCACTAAAATCACACTTGCTGGATTCTCCAAAAAACACCAGGAGGTTGGTTTCTGAAAGGGAGTTGCTCCGTTATTCGTGTCACACCGTGAGAGCAACGGCAAAGGCTTTGCAACGGTTGGGTTCTTGGTGGCGAAGCCAGCCATCCGGTTCCTTAGCTTTTTAGCATTTTAGTGTTTAGTGGTAGTTTCCATTTGACCCACCAAAAGTTCAAACTTTTGGCGGGGGATCTGAGGGCAGCTCAGATATTGTTAACCAGGCTCCCGCCTGCTGCCGCCGACCCTCGGCGCATTAAGGGAAAAGTCATAAGGACCGGTCCTGAAACACGGGTGCCAGTCCGCAAACCCAGGGACCACTTATAAGATCCTCTACGACCACAAACAAGGATTAGCGGAAAAGTCAGAAAGATGGCAGCTAGTCCGTTAATTACCGCTTGGGCCGGCTCGCGCCCAAGTCACTTCGAGTTGGCCCGGGAGCGGTCCGGGACTTGGGACCCTGTCCAGGCTGGTCCCAGTCTGGCGCGGTTTGAATTGACGGATTGGACTCTCTTGCAGAATGGATCCAAGGATCCTCCACTACCACAAGGATTAACGGAAAAGTCAGAAAGATGGCAGCTCGTCCGTCAATTACCGCACGGGCCGGTTTGCGCCCAAGTCACGTCGAGTTGGAGTGGTCCTAGAAACAAGGCCGTCGGTGCCCTCGACCGGTCGCAGGCACTTGGGACCCTGTCCGGTCCTGAAACACGGGTGCCAGTCCGGAAACAGCGGCATTGGAGGAAACAGGTGTCTGGAGCGGTTTGAGGTGGCACCAGGACTGGCAGAGTCCTGTTCGAGCCGACATAGCGGAGGAAACAGGTGTCCTAGCAAAACCTGGATCCCAGGACCGGTCCCAGGACCGGTCCCGGGAGGCTGACCACAAGTAATCCGAAGCACCAGAACCAGGGTCCCAGGACCGGTCCCAGAACTGGTCCCAGGACTTGCTGGGAATCCACTTTTTGTGCTTTCAGGTGTGTCCCCCAAAGACCAAAAAATCATCATGAATTCCAATCACTTCATTCCAGTGCATCCCACGCCGGTCCCCTCTGCAGGAGGCTGGGACGGGAGGCAGAGGGTCGGCGGATTTCCGGAAAAGGCAAGGTCTTTGGAACGGTTGGTGCTGTAGATGCTCGAAAATTTCTGGCTTCCGAGAGCCGCGGCCAAACAGGTCCAACATGTCTTGACTCGCCGAAAATTGGGATTCAAGTGGCGTGTTCCAACTGGGTACTGCATGAGCAAAGTGGCAGGTAGCTGACGTTCTAGCGAAAGCTTGGCTGGATTGTTTGGATGCGCATGTTGCTTCAGGTGGGAAGGCACGCTTGCTGCATATCGTTCTGGTCAAGGTGCGTTTTGATAAACATCACTTTGCCCAGTGTGACTTTGCCCATAGACCTGGCTGAAGCCCTGGTAGCCCGGTTGAACTGAAGAAAACGGAGTTCAAGGGCGGGGAATTCCATCGATGCCGGCAAACTGCAGGAGATCTGGGTACTCGGACACCGGTGCGGAAGGCGCTGCCTGCTTACGCCCAATTGGAACAGGAAACTCCATAACCACCAAAACACCAAGAAGGAAGCTGATTTTCCGGTGCTGGGCTTCTCCTGAAGCACCTTGACTCCGATGGGCCACTGATTCGGGCTTGGTGCTTCCTGACGTTCTGTCGTTCACGAGTTCTTGGCTTATGCGGCAGGATGCCTGTGCTTGCGCATGTTCACCTGCACTTTGCTCCCTCTCCCCTGGGTTCATTGGCTATCCCAGCACCATTCGCTAAGGAAAGAGCTCTCGGGTGATTAGGCCAAGGTTCCAAAAGGCTAGCCGTTCATTTCGAGGTTCTTTGGGCGTTCGAGGTTCTTTGGGCGTTCATGGCTGCTATTTGGTGGGATCTGAAGACTTGAACTTTCTCCTCCAACGGCTCCTGAGAACCTGCCACAATGTTGCCCCTGCAGGTAGACAAAGACTCTGCCTGCACCCGGAGAGGAGGCATCCGTTGGGATGGCAACTTGGGATGGCCCGGTGGATTCCCATTGAAAGTAAAGCAACTGCAAACCGCAGCAAGTTACGACCTTCCCCTTGCACTGAGAAATCCTATGGCAACGGGAATATCTCGTGTTTCAGTTGCCGAGTCCCTATTTTCCAACAAGTGGGCAATGGGTTCCAAGTCCAAGCGTCAAGCTGAACAGGTTCAAAATGTCCCTTCCCTTTTGGTGTTTGTCCTTTGCAGCTCGTTCCACGCCAAATTTTATCCCCTACGTGTTGCATGGCACTCTCTGTTGGAATGATATATCACTTGAAGTTCAGGATAGAGCCTAGTGCCTCATGTTCCTTTGGGGCAAGTGTCCTCTTCAGAACTTGAGGCGAGACGTACATTTGAATTTTCCTGGCCAGGTGGGAATCAAAGTGCATTCCCAGCGGCAGGTCAGTGCCTTAGTTGCGGGTCTTTAGACACAGCCCTGCGGTTCCGTTGCTTGCTTTGTGTGCTTTGCGTGCGCTTGCTTTGTGTGCCGTGCGTGCTTTGCGTGCTTTGCTTGCTTGGCTTGCCTGCTTGCTTGCCTGCTGGCTTGCCTGCTTGCTTGTTTGCACCTATACCAATCGAAAGCGTGGCGTTGCAGTCAAAGTGCACGAGAAATCGCAGGCAACTCGTCAGCTTGGCTTGCCTCTCGGTGTCCCACCCTTACCATCCATCGGTTTTCCAGGCTCTGGGGTGGTTTGGGGCAGTGTTCAGGGTGGGTTCACAAGGAGATTCAGTTC